CCACAATGGTTATATCGCAAATTATATTCCCCGTTTCTTCTATCTTATTTCCAAGAGAAAGATTTAAAGATCCTTTTCAGTTTCTATGATTAATATTCAATTGTTTCAATTTTTTTACTGTGAAACAGACGACGATCCGATTCGCTGTGGTCTACTCCATTTGTCTCCGTTAAGTATCGAAAGCAATTTTTCTATCGTGTTCAATACCGGGGGAAAAAGGAAAATTTTCCATTCATCGTTCCATTCCAAGTGTTCGTTTAATTTCGTGCCGACTAGGTGTCATGGCGAAGAATCTCGGTGAACTGTGAAGTCGGGGTTCCCATCAGTTCAAGTGGTCAGACAAAAGAACTATTATAAATTCCATTAATACCCGGCGACCAGTCGAAATACTCTAAACTTTAATTATCCCTGGGGGCCACTCGATCCGCCTTCGCCGTGCAAGTAAAGCGAAATGGAACGTTGAATTAACCAAGACGCGATAAAACGGTAGTAAAGAATTAAAGGACCGCGGGCGTGAGAACCGTGGTCGATCGCCGAGGTAATTTTCAATTTGTCCTGAATCGACCGGCGGCGAGTGGTGCTCCGAGTTTCCCCACTCGTCGCGCGCGAACGGTGTTAAAAGACTTTGTAAGCGATATTGTGCTTGCCGAGTCAAAGACAAAAATGCGGGTGCGTGGGAAAAAGGGGAACGGCATAACTAGACGAGTCCGATTGAATGAAATGATCCAAACAAAGTAAACGATTCGAGTGAAGCGGATGGATAAAATCGACGTCAGAGAATAAATAAACGAACGAAGGGAGTTGCGCGGGTTAATTTAAACAAATTATAATGATTGGATGAATTGTGTGGATAGAACGAATCGAATGACAGAGGCGAACTGAAAAGTAAACGAATCGAGTGCGTTGAACAATTTTTTAATTAACGTAAAAGGCATGGTCGCTTTTTGGTAGATTATATTATCTTTTATCAGCAAGTAATTAAAGACTAAAAATCTTTTAAGGTATCACAGTAATGTGATAGAAAACAAGTGGTGTTATTTAATAGATTAAACAAAAATATCAATGAAACCGATGTTCCTTGAGCACCGTCTTAGTATATTATTAAAATAAATGAATTGGACGAGCCAGAGGAATTAAACCAAGGTACAGGGAAAAGTTACGCGACTCCGAAAATGGCACGTCGTCGCCACAGTAATTTCACTCCATATGCTGTCGTGTTAAAGACCCTCCGGCGCCAGCGTCCCGGATGCTCCCTTGGTATCTAGGAGAGCAAGGGTGCCGTCGAGTCCCTCGGAACTACCGATCTTTAGGATTCTTCTCCGCCCGCTTGGGGACTAAGTTTTATCATCTCCGCTGGATGGTTTGATACTATGCCACTTTGACACCATATGCTGTCGTGCTAAAGCCCGTATGGCGCTGGCATGTCTGGCATGTTCTTTGGTAAGGGTGAAGGGAGCATGTTGATGAGAAGAGATTGAAACAACTTTGGTTAGTAACCGTTCTATCCAAATGATTTAATAATAATTATCAAAATATCATATATTGTATCTACTATATTCATACATGTGTTATCTACATATCCAATTTTTGCACGAGAATCGACCCGCTAAGCGATAAATCAGCCTATCATACCTTGTTCCAAACTTCCATCCCCTTCAAATTTAATTTCAAAGAGCAAGTAGATTCAAACATTGCCGTCCTCGAATCTAGCTAAGTAGCACGAGTTAAAATATTTGTAGAGGACTAAGATGCTAAGTCAAGAACAATAAACCGATGCGCAACGTACACGGAGGATAGAAAACAGTTCTACCCTAGATACATCGTAACCACCAGTGCACCAGGAAAAGCATACCGAACACAAAGAAACAAAGTATACATTTCAACAATCCGTGCTTCTTTTAGCTTCCTCGATCATTTTCCAGACACCGATTAGCTTTCACGCCTCCGACAAACGCAGTTAACGCAGCCCGACTTAATTTAGAAGACCGCCAGCGCCGAACCGCAGCGTGTTTAATCTTGAACTCTGATTGAATCCCGTGTACCCCGATGTTCCATTTGGACACTTCGATTCGCAGACGAATCCGGGCGTCCCTCGATTATCGCAGTTCGCTTAGCCCCGGCCCAGCGCAATAGCCCAGAGCCACGAGTAGCTTCGTTACGTAGCACAAATTCCGACCCGCGCGCGTCGTCCACTTATTCCTCTATGCAACGCGCCGGCACGAATTGGATTTTTACCAGCGCGGAAGCAGGCTGAGGAAGGGAAAAGACGCAGGGCAAGAAGGAAGGAAGATGAAAAGGACGATATAAAAGAGTCGGAAGGGGTGGTTCGCGGGCGACCGTTGCTTCGAATCGAATAACGAAACTACCCCCGGACCCCGGTGGCTTCTCGCCGGAATAATAAGGACTCCATCCAGCGACGGAGATCGGGAAAATCGATCGCGCCATATCGCGTCCATCTCGCATTATTGCTGCCGTCTGTTTCCGACAACCGGTGCCCACCCCTCCGACCGACGCCTGATTGTGGCCACGCTTGACAGAGCCACTCGGATGGGTGTTGCCTCTGCCACTAGCCCCCGTCCCCTTCCTACAGGGAGAAAAACAAAGTGGAGAGAAAAGCTTGTCTCGGCGACGGCCGAGAGAATAACACGCCGCTGACGAAATTACCCTCTCGCCCGGCCGTAGACTAACGGAATTGTCTGTTTCTTTCGGTGAGAGGCCTGCACGATTTCATTTATCACTTCCACGACGCGGAGAGGGATGCCCAATAGGGAAAGTTCGGCGATCGAAGTCAGAGGGCAATGGTTTACGTTGACGCGCGTCACGAAATTGAGTACCGTGGGGAGAATGTTTTTTCTGCTGGGCAATTGTATTTGGGGCGTTGAGGAATAGAAATTTCTGGAAGGACTTGTGGATTGATGTGCGTAGTTCGAGGTGATTTCAGTGTTACCTAAGGTCATTCAATGTCGCCCAATATTGTGATTTCGAAGCAATAGTTACCAGGTCGATTAGGTAGTTTCCAAAGTGACCAGGTTTCCAAAGTTCTAATCATCTTACATTATAAAAACCGAAAAGGACAAGTATGTAAGAACTCACGCAAGCATGAGAAGATTAAAGCTGATATCTCGATAATCCGGTGCACGAAGCAGCAAGAATTAGAGGATCATAAGAAACGCGATCCGACCATACATGAAAATCAATTTCTGCCAAACCCAGCTGCAAACGAAGATTTTCGTCGTTGCTCTCGTCTAGGATACGTGACCCTATCCGTAGGGTTGGGCTTAGAACGGTCATCCCTCTCATTAAGTTGACCCTATATACACGCAATCCGTCCATTTATTTATCCCACGTGAGCCTGCCCGGTCCCTCTATAAGTAATTATATCGTTTCGGTGTTCAAACGGAACTGGACGAACGGTAACTCGGCAGATTATGCAGCGAAAACACGAATCACGTGCATTTTCGCATTACAAGACGAGCGCGGGACTCGTTAAGTGTATTAATAGAAAGGGACGGACTGGACTGGTGGTCATTAAGGCTTCATTTTTCTGGGTTAATGGGAACCGGAGGCAGCACTTCGCAAGAAGTTCGATCGATTCCCTAAATTCAGCCTCCGACTATTTTCAAGTCGAACCTATTTTACTCACGAGGGGTACACAGAACTTCGAGGAGCTTCTTGAATTTCTGCGATTCACCATGATTCCGGTTATCAAGGCAGATTTTTTTCATGGTCAGTTCGGATCATTAACCCCTATTAGATATCCAGCCTTGCTAACGTTGCTGTTTTTAACCTTACAAAGAAAAAAACCAAACGCTATAATTACACGAGCACTATAATTATATGCTTCTACGCCACACTGTTTAGTAACTGAAAATTAGTAAAGTAGTGCACGTAAAGTAGCAAACAACTACCGCGTCACTAAAACTGGCGGAAATATGAAATACGAGTTAGTTACTTCAATCCGCGTGCCCGTACACAAAAATATGCGTCATAAATTTCACATGGCTTTAGAACGACGTTAAAAAGAACCCATAGTTTTCGTCGCAAGTGACAATTAAGACGAAACAGGAATTCAGCAAACTAATTACCAAGTACGCTGCCGAAATGACGCCAATATGTCGCGACACCATTTTATTTCCTCGCGAGCGCAGAACGGCCGGGATATAAGTTAGTTTATCACGTGTTTCATTCACGATAAAAAAATTCGTTTAAGTCGGACCAGTAGCTATATGCGTTGTAAAAAAATTCGTAAGCGTGCACTTTGCACCGTCGTCGTCGAAACAGCGAGGCTCTAAAGAATAACACTGGCACGGAGGCGCGGATAAAAACCACGTCTCGCGCGACCTTTCGACGCGAGTCACCGCGTTCGTAGAGTGACGCGCGGTTTAAACAGTGTTTGGAACGACAGAGACTGGAACACCGATGAAACAAAAGCGCGCGGCAATAATCGGAAATGTTAAAGATCCCGGGACGGCCAGGCAGCCGTTGAAATTCCGAATGCGTCGGAGGCATTAGGCGTTTTATGGGGGCGTTACGGCACCCCTCGTCACTCGCGCGGACGGTCGATAAAAATATCACGAACCCCGTATTTCGCCGAAGGAGATAACTTTATTGCGGCGATACCGTGATTGTTACGGCTTTCATATTTTCACGACAACCGGCGTACCTGTAGATTCAACTGTTCGCTTCGAGCTGAATATTCCTTCGGCCGTAAAAATCCGGGCTGCGCTCCCGCAAATCGCAATCACCGTGGTACGAACAGGGTTCAAACAAGACAGAGAGACATTTGGTAGCGTATCGGTATTGTATTCAACAGTTAACAACGATAACAACGAACATTAATCCACGACTAACAAGATTCTACCAGATCCTCTTTGGTTCAGGCACACCGTTAAATATTCGATAAATAGAACGAAGATAAATCGCGAGTAACGAGGTTCATCCATAAGTCAGCAAGCGTGTACCGATTATTTCCCTTTGGAAAGATTGTTGCCGGTCGTCTTTTAATGATGTCCGTGGCCGTGACCACCATATGTGCCACCCTCGTGATTGTTACCGTTGGAATTGTGAACGTACGCGAAAAATCCTCCGTGCGGGTCGGCGTGGTACTTCACTACCCTCACGTTGCCGCCTGGTTCCTTCAGGGTGTATTCACCTGCCACCTTCTTGCCTATTAGGGAAATCGCTTTTGTTAACTTGTGTGGCTCTATTACACTCCAACTTCAAGTTCTAAGGGTTTGAAGGATCCTTCATCCGTAGGGAATCTTTTTTTAATCGACTTTTCAGAGGTGCTACATATCCAGAAGACTTTTAAAAAATGTTCAGTACGTAAAAAGTACTATTGTACAGAAGAATTTGAGTATAGAGGATTGAATAATCACTACTAGATATGTTATCGAAGTTTTTGGCCTGATTATATTCTCCATCAGAATCAAAGCTGCCTGGAATTGAATCATTCTTTAATTTATCCCTATCATTTTTTAAACACCGTGTCGTATATTTCGTTACGACAGTACTTAAACATCTCGACACCCGGTATACAAGGTACCCGATCCTGCCAACTCGAGTGAAATATAATATATCGACCTGTTGAGCGGAATTTATTTGCATCTATAATTTACTTTCTTCCACTAGTGGCGTTCGTGGGGGCGTACGATAACCGAGTACCCTTATTACGGAAAATAAGAAACCTGAACACCAAGGGAGATTTACGCTTTTAACGCATTATCTACCGGCAGTTATTGAACGTTTTACAGAACATTAATAATCGATGCATAAAGACTTTTTAATCCAATTTTCAATGGCAATATCAATTACAATCCTAATCCAATGAATCATATTAAATAACGAAATCTAAACATTATTCAATGACTACTATTCAAACAAGGTTATTAAATGAATTTTTAACATAAGAATATGAGTATTAAAAATCCTATTAACCCTTTCACTATCACCTTTCACAATGTTTCACAAAATTTCTCAATTTTACGTAATACATAATATAACTTCGTATGCATTGTATTAAAATATATTAAATATTACACCTAAAAGCTGAATAGCTTGCTGTTAATTACATTTTACAGAAGCATGTTTGATGAAATAAAATCTCATACATTAATTCCAAAGAAAATTAAAACACAATTTGCATCGCGTATACGTCACTTTGGCAATTAGGTCAAATATGTGTAACGTGTAACAGTCAAAAGGTTAATTGTCGTCCAGTAGATAAAGCGTGAAGTTACACCAATAAGTTTAGGTCACTTATCCGCTGGAGACTCACCATCCCTGTGCTCCTTTTGCCCGTGATGGTCGTGGGTGTGATGGTCGTCGACGCCGTACGAGAACTCGTATTTCGGATGGGCAACATAGTCGACCTGGTGATGTCCGTGTTTATCGTGGAACGAGATTTCTTGGCCTGGCCCTTCCACGGGGCCATGGAAATGGGCGAAACTGTGAGCGTGTCCGGCCAATCCGCTTTGAACGGCAGTGAGGGCGAGCACAGCGGAAATTAAAGCGACCTGTCGGCGAAACGGTAAATTATAAAATGAAAATTTCCGTCGACACGCGAATTCATTTCGGGCCGGATTAAAGCGATATTTCCCGGTGCTTCGTGATTGTCGTCGAATTATCGCGAGATTGAAACATTACAGAACGAATGAAACGGACGAATCGTAAAACAGAAAATTCCGATCGATCCTCGACGAACGATTTCACCGTTGGCCATACCTTGATCACCATATTGCTAGCGTACGGAAGATGGTGAACAGAATGATACCTCAACGATCGATCGCGGAAGTTTATATACCGTCGAGGAGAATAGTTTTTGGCAAACGGAATTTCGCCACAATAGTCTTATTCAACGTCAATGAAACAGAATGTACGTCGGCGATTACATCGATCCTCGAAAAAAGCGATCCGCGCGTGCCAACCGACTTTCTGCGGGCGAAGTGTCCCGTTTCTTCGGCAACAGCGAACATAACCGACCGTCCACGCACATGGGACCGCGGGGGCCAAGCGTTTCACCGAAACGGCTGTCGATTCCGCTCTATTGATCCTGTCACGGAAGAGAGTTTTTTATTTTTTTCCTCTGCGGTGTTTGTTATGAGCCAATGCAAAACCGATCCTACGAAACGTCACGGTGATGAACCGCCGGCAAATCAAGCACAAAGGCATCGTGTTTTCGGTCTGCTTTTGATCACCGGCCGAACATTCGTTTAATTCCCAGTTAAATAAATGTCGACTCGCAACAACGATTCTGAAAAATCGCGTAACGGCGGCTTTTACAACGAACTTTTGTTCCCTCCTCTGTTTTTTTTCCTCTCCCTTTTGTTTCGACATGTTTTATTCCGCGGATTACGGCATTTTAATACCAACGGGGAAAGCACCGAACTTCAACGAGTAAAATTTTATATTGGATTCGCTGGGACAATTCAATCAATGTGTTTCGTTGCGATCGGAACGTTGTTTTTCCGTGCGCAAGCTCGTGAAAGGTAACGCAATGTAGTTTTCTACAAAACTGACCTAGTGCGTCCGATCGTTCACGTATTGGCGCCGATTGCGTATCGTCCCGTCTCCAGTAATCGTTCCGGTTCTGCCCTTTGAAAAATAAACACCGAAAAACTACGCAAATTTATGTTTACATCGAAACTTCGATATTAGTGGAAGTAGCATCAACCGTGTTATGTTACGTTTGGTGTGTTTACGTATGTATAGTCGAGCTATTATAATCGCGCAGTTTCAGGTGTTCAGTCCATGTAGGAAGTCTAACAAATATCTCACTAATGAACCCATTAGAGTCGAATTACATACCAAATGCGTAATGTAGTACATAACCCGAAAGACACCGTGTGTGTAATGATAAAAAATTTCTGTTATCAGTCAGCAGTCAGAGATTTATAGGACATTGAAGACGATAAAAAATCAAGACCGCCGAGATTACAAACAAGGAACAGTAATGGTAAAAGTGATGAAAAGTATTGGCTACTGGAAATTGTTTTGGACTGGTCTCGAATGTGTTAAGTTTTTTACTTCAATTAAGAAAGTTACCAGGCCAAAGAAACAACACACCGACGCCTGGATCAATGACCGTCTCTTTACTCACTACTGGAATATAAATATTTCCATAGTGAAATAACGAAACGTATTTCTGCGCTTTACTCTCATCGAAGCTCTCAGGCTTAATACACATTATTACTCAATATTTTTGTTAAACCAAAACAGAGCGACATCGAATTGAAAGCGTACCAGGAACCACAGTGTAAATACAAGCAATATAAACAACTGAATAATTTGTTATCGAACCGAGAGCAAAACAAGAGCGAATAGAAACCTTGCCGATAGCGTGTATCGAGCCTTATCGAGTGTCGCCGCTGCGATGTAAACGTAACCTAACTCGCGACGCACTCGCGGCCCGCGTTTTTCAGGTCTTGGATTCTTTGACATTGCGGGTAACGGTTTCAAGGAACCTTTTAAGGGTTTCGAACTTTCATGAGGGCTTTCGAAGTACTTACGTTTTCCAGCCGACCACCCCCGCGGTTCCGCCCCCACTAGCAACCCTCTAAAGTAGCTGGATCGCGGCGCGCACCGCGCCGTTTTACCTCGTGTAACTTTTAAGTCAACGTTTAATCAGGTCCGAAATTGTCAAAGCGAAACCGAAGTTCACATTCAAGGGAACTTTTTACTTTATTCGACCGTTGAGATTAAAAGTTTCATTGAAGAGCATCGTAATTAATATATCCAGGCTATTCCCTTTTGTTTTATCAAGCGATACAGGTATTAGGCTTTGCTTGTTGAACCGTCCTTCTCTAGAACAGAGTCTTAAATCTTTTTACTTGTTTTATGGTTTACTGGCGGAAAATGTGATTTTTGTGAATAATTCATAGATCTGTTTCACGATTTTAATATTATTATTTTATTATAAAATATAAAAGTCTTCTCATGAAAGGCAATATTATTATAATAGACATGCTATGCCTTGAATGAAAAACCAATAATTATGTAATTCTACACATTTTAGAAATCTCGTCTATTCATCTATTTGTAAAACAGTTTCTTAACATAGAAAAGTGCAAACAAAAGTAGGTCACAATGGACTGTCATCACCAAGACACTTTCACCACAAGTAATTTAGAACGTTCGATGAAAAACGGATAGACTGCTCAATGTTCTTTGCGGGTATATTTAGCATGACAAGTGCGCGTTACATAATACAGAATGGAATCGAGGGACTTGTCTTAAACAAGAGGTAGAACTGTTCACAGAAAAAGAAATAAAAGTATTCGAAGGTACCGTGGTCTAAGCGTAAAGAATATCTCGCAGGGTATTCGAAACTCGTGCGTTCATCGTGCACCTCGCGAAATTATAATTAGCTTAATCTCAACGGTGAAGCATGATAACGTTATTAAAATAACGAGGGGTCATGTAATGTCCTTAATTAAATAAGTGCATTCATTTTGAACAAGCTCTCAGACGAGGGGTTATGCACGGGGGAGATTTTCCTCTTCCTCCCTCTCAAAGATTAACCTTTCGCGGTTAGAAGTATTCTCAGGTTTTCACTTTGGACCTTACATTAAAGTTATTTATTTCAAATAAAGTTCAATCTCTTGTCTTATAACATCGCCTCGAACCCATGGTCAGAATGGCAAATTTAATAAATGCAAATATTATTCTGTGCTTATTAATATTAAACATTTTTCTGATATCATTCCTTATGTTTCGGAGTAAACATAGAATGAACAGAAATTACTCTCCTTTCTAGTAAATTATTAGCGATAAATTAGTTCTAATGAGTGCAATTATGGCAGTAATTGCAGAGGAAGTGTTTAATCAGCACTGTAGTAATTCATTTTAGAATATTTGAGAAGTGTTAAAACTTCGCTTACATATAACATAATTGGACGTTGTAAATAATTATAGCAAACATTAATAAAATAAGCTGCTAATACAATGAAATCACCAAAAGATTTCATTCAAAAGTTAGTAGATTCACCAAAAGTTAACGAACGAGGGATCGGATAGAAAGAGCTATGTACAGCTCTCGACTTTGTCAGTCTCCTTAATGTCGATGAAAAAGTAATATCGCACACTCGACCGGTAATCCATCCGTTTACTTCGGTAACGACCGTATCGATCCCAGCTGCGCGTTGCACCGCGCACTCGTACACGCGGTGCGAACGGATATGCGTAATTTGTGCGTGAGCCTGCAAGGGCTAGCCCACCCCTGCGAATTCGAGGCTCGCGAGAACGTTCGCCGGTTTGCTAAATATTTACACCGCAATTAGCTACCCGCAAACATGCGGCGAAATCATAAATGTCCGCGACTGTCCACCCTATATGGCTAACCATCCCCTCCCAATTGATTCGATGAAGTATTGTGCGACAACCGCGAAGCGAATGCGTTTGAGACACCCTGTAAATATTGGTTCCGGTAACGGGAATCATTCCCGGTCGAAAAACAATTACCGTGATGTAATTTTTGCTAATTGTGCCCATAAATGTTGCATCGGTTACAAAAATGTATATTTTGTGATTTCCTTGATTAAATATTTTTACACTGTTTTGTTGTTTTCGGTTGTGTTATTCATTTTGTATTTCGGCAAGCACAAACGCTTTATTGATTCTCCGATTTATTCATACACGAGGGATTTCGCGGAAGCCAGGAATATTGTATTCGAGATTACTTTATTAAACTGTGAGGGCCATTACAGTTAGCGTTAACACAATTACACGTGATCATTTTATCGAGCAACGATTATCCTTATTTTTCTCCCAATGAAATTTTATTCCAAACGATTTTTGGAAACGGCAGTTTCGAGCTTCATATCGGCGAAAATATCTGCTGCATTCGCGGTACAAAAAATACATCAATTAAAATGCACGAACTTTTTAATTGGATTTACAATTCTATTTTCGTTTCATCGTTCGCAGTTGTTTTTTCCGCAATTTCGAGTATCGATCTCGACGGCGCGCCGCTGTGTTTCTATTTTCTGTTTATAAATATTGAACCGTTACGGTAAATACAGGTGTCGATGAATACACAATTCCTTTTCCCGTTCAAGAATTATTAAATAATCATGTGAAATGAATTCGGACTGCTCTTCGCCTGTTTCGATCGTCGCCGAACATGCGATCTGCAGCGCGCAAAAACTGAAGAGAAACGAAAACACCGCGAGCGGAGGGTTAAGAGTCTCAATTACGAGACGCCCAGCGCGCAACGCCGTGGAGAGCTTCTGATGACAGAGGGTGCGCATCATTGTGCCAATCTAGCTGACGAAACGCCAGCTGAAGTAGAAATGGTAGCACAAACGTTGGCCCAGGGGGGCGAGGACGCGCGACGTACTCACCAGACTAATTACTTTAACAAGCTTCGAACCTGATTAGCACAAGAATCGTCGATGCAAGAACGATGTGTAGAAGCGGAAGGTGTCGCCGACGCCATCGGTGTATATTTGCAGAAAACGCGGGAATCACGTGCTCCGGACGAACATCGTCGAGACATTTTTTCCTCCCTTTTTCTGGGAGCTGAAAGACGCCTCCGTTCGCATTCGTCGTACCTTTGCACCCCTTCTTGAAGCGACAGCCGTGCGTAATTAGTTTGTGCTGGTATTCCTGCTAAGCGACGTCTCCTCAACTTTCGCTGGAATTCGTCGACCATCACGGGACTATTCTCTTTTTAATTTGATTACCCTCCCCATCCCTCTGTCTCCCGGAACTCCTTCCTGGAATCCTTGGATCTCAGAATCACTTCTCTTTCAGCGGTACTTTCAATATTTTTGTTCCCCGTGATTACAGACCTCTCGTGTTCACGGTATCACGCGGGGAGAAGAAGCGCAGGTCGGTGGAGCGTTGGACGAGACAGCGGATAAAAGTTGAAAAAATTTCAGCTAATTAATTACGAAAGAGTATTCCGCGTGGAAGTTTCGCGCAGAGCGCAAAGAAGAAATATTTAAAGGCGAGGCATAGCTCGTTTTAATTACTCGTTCCTCAAGACGAGCAAGCACTCGGCGCATCTTTGTTGGTCCACTCCTCAAAGGAGTCTCCGTCGGCTTCCGTCCGGGAAGTTGGCTCGCCCGTGTTCCGATAGTGAGCCAGTGTCTACTCAATATCATCTACTACGCAAACTTAGTAGAAATTGTCGAAGCGTATG